TTCGTTCTGCACCTTAAGCTTGTCAGGTTGCACCCACTGTTAGCTATATCTATGCATATCGGCTATTGTTAAAGGTACTGAGGAGCCTTCGTCTTCTTCCGTGCTTTCCAAATTGTTGAAGGGAACTAACTGCTTTAAATTTCTGAAACGACGAATTCCCGTCGAAACAGGCAGGTTGTTGCATTCCATAGTCAGCCTGAGGTGAAAGATGGTGTGCTTACGTGTGTAGATATCATTTCTATCGAAATGCATTTTCATGCGTCGCTATCCTTGTCCAGTGCTCTTACTGTTGCGTAGAAACAAACTCAAGCCCTCTGCGGCTAACCTCAAAAGTGTGGCGTCCGCACATCCAGAGACCGCTCAAACCAGACCTGCGGAACTGCTAGGAACTCATGCACGCTTACTACCCGTGGTCGAGGATCTGTCTCTGTGTTGCCGAATTGTTTTCACTAACTTTTGTAAATCAACTCTTGATCGTACGAGACGAAATCGCTATGCTCGTATAGAAAATTCGCTGACGAACAACCAGGAGGAGGAACCAATTGCTCGTGATCCCAGTAAGTACGTGATAAATTTATCGAACGTACAACTTGATGCGTTGCAGTTGGTAGCATTAATACTTGGGCTTGATTAAAAAGTCCCCCCTAGAACGTTGAACGGCTTGTTTATAGAAGCCCAATTTGAGAACTTTTTCGACTAGTTTAAGGAGCTCCAACCAACCAGCCCTGATAAGCATATTTCGTTCAGGAACAAGTTAACCGATATCGCCCATGAGATGAAAACCATGCCAATTAATGACAAATGTGCCATCACAGCTCGACATTTGCAGGCCTCACGTGAACCACGAGCTAAGGACGTAGTCGTAATGAAACCAGATAAATGTTCAGGAGCGGTAATCATAAACAAAACCGAATTCAATGGGAAGATGTGCGCCATACTCAACGATGCGAGTAAATTCAAACGGCTCACTAAAGTGGGGGACATAACCAATGTCGAAACGCGCATTGTTCGTCACCTGGAATTGCCTCTCCTCCACCGCGTGATAGACTTTGATACACTTAATAGTTTGAAGCCGAGTGGTAGCACTATTCCATAGTTGTATGGGTCCCCAGACACATACGAGTGAAGTGCCACTTAGGCCAATCCTTTCAATGATGAACGCGCCCCAGCATAAACTCGCTCGTTGGTTAGTGAAGTTGCTAGCTCCGCTGAAACAACAGTTCAATCCGTACAATCTTAAAGAATCGTTTCAACTCATTGATGACCAGTCAGACGAAGTCATATGTTCCTTGGATGTAGAGTCCTTATTTACCAACGTGCCGCTACATCAAACGGTTGATTACGTGTGCGAACTAGCTGAAAACGGTGACTGTTCGCTACCAATTCCGACTGAATCGCTAAGAGAATCTCTACTATTGTGCACGGAGAATGTGGATTTTCACTTCTGGAATACATCATATTGTCAGATTGACAGCGTAGCAATGGGTAGCCCATTAGGTCATGCGCTCGCTGATTTTTTCATGCTGATGGTAGAAAGAAGCATTTCTACGGAAATAGCGCAGGTGCCCTACTACAAACGATATGTCGATGATATCATGGTTTTCTGTTCGTCGGAGCAGCAGCTCACACATTTGGTAGAACGGCTCAATGGTGCTCATGCTAAGTTACGGGTTACATGCGAAGCAGAACAGAACAATTGTCTGCCATACCTGGACATACTCATAAGTCGCGGGGATGATGTATTAACTAAGAGGTCCATTTACCGAAAATCAACTTGGTCCGGTCAGTACCTGCACTTTACCAGCTTCACACCAGTGCGGTACAAACGGACTCAAGTTAGTCGTGCCAGACGAATTTGTTCGGCCGACTGTCTGAACGATGAGCTAGTGTTAATTACAGCAACACTAATGGCGAACGGCTACCCTCGAAGATTTATCGAGAAACATAGCCAACGGCTAGGGCCAAAGGAGTTGGTGCACACGGCAGCCAAGAAAAATGTGTACATCGAGTTACCTTCCAAAGGTGACTTAGCCACGCTGAAGACAACTAAGCGTATAACTTCGGCTACACAAGGAAGTTACTATGCTGAACCAGTTGTCGTTATCAGCTGAACCCGAAATTTGCCCATACCTCCAACGAAGGAAGCTCAGCCTACTGGGGCCAACCCACACTGTGTATACCAATTTGTATGTGACTGCGGAAACAGTTACATAGGCAGAACTGATAGAATGCTGACTTCTCGAATAAAGGAACATGTACCAAGATGGGTTCCATGTGAAGTTGCTCAGATTGCCTACCCTCGTCAGATTCCATGTTCGCGCAGACCGCCGGCTTCCTCGATAGGCAAACACCTATTAGACTTGAATCACCGGATAGAGCTGGGGTCAGTGTTTAAAATTGTGTTACGTCACACTAATCCCCATTACTTTCGGCTTGCTGAGGCTGTCACTAAAAGCCAGATTAAGCCAGCCTTGTGTGTTCAGAAACAATTATTTGCCAGGCAAAAGCTGCATTGGATGTAGGTGTGAACTTCCGTCATATGTTTTGCACCTTCAGCTTGTCTGATTGCACCTACTGTTAGCTATATGTATGTATATCGGTTATTATTAATGGTACTGAGGAGACAATACGAAGTGTATGCATCTACCAGCCTTCGTCTTCTTTCCGTGCTTTTCAAATTGTTGAAGGGAACTAACTGCTTTAAAGAACAATTAGTGTTCTCAACCAAAGCCTTTGGTTTAAAAAACCTGACCGCAAGGCAGCGGGGTTGGGGCACTACACTACCGAGAGCCCGTTTTATGGAGTAGGGAGCCATCCTCATTCCAACCCCTAATCTGGAGGGCCAGGAGACTGAGTTTGTCAGGCCTCCAATCATTGACCAACCTGGTATGAGTAGTTCAAGGTGCAAAGGCACCATCCAGGATAGCCCAACAGATTGCTGAGACACGCAAAGTATCGTACCGCGTTAGGGTTTAGTCTCGTCGCGATGGATCCCTTACCAGATAGTACCACAATGCAGTCCTGTTCACAGAATTAAAGACATCACGGTTATCCAGAAACACAACAATCATTGGCTTTTGGTACACATGGCGGAGCTCGAGAATCTGGTTAAGTCTGAAAATCTGATCGGTGCAGCTGCGACCAGAGTGGAACCCAGCCTATTCTTCCGGCTGCAGTGATTCGCTAGTCAGGGATAGGCTTCGAAGTATGATGGATACGACGGGAACCAACCTAATACTCCTGTAGCTGAAGCACATTGTGCGCAGGCCCTTTTTGAAGTTGGGGACGACTATCCAGTCACCACGAGATTTCGAGTAGTGGTCCGGTGAGAATTCGAACGAGTTGCGTGTCAACCTATAGAAGAACGTTGCAAACGTTAGGGTGGGAAGTAACTATTAAAGCGCACGCCGATCAGCGTCAGTCTGCTCATAACGACTGAAGATCCGCTGGATTTGACCCTGAGACATATATATCGTCTGCGTGCACAGTTATAAGCTGGCAGCTAGAAATGAACACTTAAGTGAAAAAGTCAGAGTGGGACGAAAAGGTAAGAGACTCCCAGCGCACTCCGTTTATCGTGAAAGTCTCAGTGGAACGACACAAAGTCTTGAGGATTGCTGAAGGAAGGCTTCAAAGTGGAAAACCTCTAAAGACTTCAATTCAGGGAAGATGAACAGGGTCACGCAGCTGTATGCGGGGGGGGGGGCTGTTCTATCATACTTGACGAGGTATAGATACATGATGAATTCACCTTACATTCGAGCGAAAACCAGTCAAATGTCAACGTTTCAATTCTCTCATGGACCTATGAGTCATTTACGATGGAAATGTCTATCAACAACCGCTGGCCGAAGGAATTCTACGTGGTGAGGGGCAGAGCGTTGAGCAGGACCAGTCAAAAAGCCAACAGTGAATTGCCATAACCCCCAAGCAACGATGATGCACGAGCATCAGGTTCAGCTGTTTCGTTTCGTTCTAACATCCCAAACTCGCAACGGAACACTACAACAATGAGGCACGATGTCAGCACCCTAGATACTTGAAGATGCTTCAAAGAAAGTAATGCAACAAAGCGAGTGAAGTGCTCCTCAACGCTCAACGTATGAATCAGTAGAACTGAGAGTGTATCGGTTGTCCATCCGCTTAGCAATCGGTTTGCTAAACCGAGTTGTTTCTTTGATCAGTACCCTAAATGGGGTTGTATGAGTGAGTAGTGGAGGGGTCTATTATAGGAGTGTCCGGCGACCCAAATAACGTGGACTATTGCATGAGACCCAATCATTCACCAGCATATGATCGGCAAAAGATACTAACAAAATACCGTCTTAGCGTTGCAAGCGCCGTTGTGATAAGTTCTATCGATAACACAAAGATGGTTCTTAAGATCAAAATGACCTGAACAGCTGCTTGCGCGACTGGACAGCTATGAAGAAGGACGTCACATAGAGGAAGTGGGCATTAGAAAAGGGTGTTCAAGCAAGACGAGCCACCAAAGAGCAATACTAATCAAAAGTAATCACAAAGACAGAACTGGAGCATAAAACGGAGGGACGTACTGAAGAGTAGCTGATGTGAAACAGTAGAGTTGGGGAGCTGCGTATAACAGAACGTTTCAGACGTATACAAAAATGTTTGAAAAACTGTACTAAAGATGCTCTGTATCGAGACCGTCGAAACTTGGGAACACAGGGCGAAAGGGAGTTATAGATCAAGATGCGAACCTTTCCTGAAATGTAATCTGTACCAAGTTAACAATGATAATGGTGAAATGCCACAGGTAAGAGCCAAGGTATTGACCTAGTGATGGAAAGCAGTGCAAAACGCCAGTATAATATTGCCACAAAAACGAGTGTGGTGACGGATATCTCAGACTAAAAAGTTAGGTAGACTAAGTGACTTAGAAGGCGAGGAAAGGAATTTTTCTGAGATGACAAGGAAGAGGTAACTAACGGGTGGGAGAGAAAACCGGGTACAGAAAGACATTTAAGCAAGAAACAACTCGTGGGTTTCTGAACATAAATGTATTGAAAATATGTACAACAGTTGCTACAAAAATGCAGGCACGGTGGCTGCCGGAGACCCAAACAGTAGGTTTAACTTTCGCTGTCAGAAATTTCGATCACAGTCATTTTGTCCGGGCTCGGTGGAGGAGGTTTTACCGAATCCGTTGGGTGGGTAGGGGAGGGAGCTGGAACGTCCGAAGTGACATCGGAAGGTGCACCGCTAGGTGAAGGGGACGATGTGTGAGCGGCCGTCTCGGGGGCCGAATCCAATGAGGTTGTGGCTTCCTTGTGACTCATTTCAGATGAAGCGTTACTCGGCTGGGTTGTAGTCGTTTCGGTCTGTTCTGAGGTAGAAGCCGGTTCCGCCTCGGCACACAGCACCGAGGCCGGTAATCCGGGAAGGTCCGCGTATATATCTTCAAGTATCTCCTGGAGACGCTCCACAGCTGAAAGATACACACACAAACAACAGGTAGATGGATACTGCAGTGAACAGCGTTGATAAAAAGGCGACAGACAACAAAACTAATTACCTGTGATCGGTGGGGCAGAGTAAGATTAATCGCTGACCGGCAGGTTATGGAATAAAGTAGTTAGACAATGGGGTGCGGCTCAGTCACATCAACAAATTCAATCATATGGGTGGGCGGAAATGCATCAGAGTGGCACGGGCGACTAGGTGAGTGAAGCCATCGTAGTGTCACAGGCATGTCAAGAAATAAAGCGATGAACGGGAGCAAGTAATACGAAACTGGAAGTGAAAGAAAAAAAGAGAATTTGAGCTTTAGGTGACTAATTGGCCATGTTGCAACAGATTGCGACAGTCATGGTTGGGGCACCTCGTCTGAATTACTCTATGATGAGATCTGCTTGAAGATGCTGATACTAGACCCTTTACAATTTCATGGAGTTGAAGTCGGAGTTGATAGGGAATATATATATATATATATATGTATATATATATATATATATATATATATATATATATATATATATATATATATATATATATATATAATACGTGCCCCATGCTGAGGCTGATGTTGCATTCTTGAGGCTTCTTCACCGCAGTTGGGCTAAACCAACTTACACTTAAACTAGGTCTTTTTAAGCTGGATAAATTTCATTCCCCTTAATTTGGTTTATTCTGCCTCCCTGAATAATGTTCTACTAACTGGCCACGTTGCTTCCACTAATTGCGCTTATTTTCGGTAATTTTGTTGCGTTTGTAGCATTTTAAGTAACTTGTGGACATTTCTTACTTATCACGGATTTGCTGCTAACCAACTTACTCCATATGGTAATTTAGCGAAGAGTTATGCCACCGTAGCTGTATGCATTATTGGATTTATTTCATTTCATTTTGTCGTTTAAAGTGAATGGCTGTTGTTTGATATCCCTGGTATGGTTGCGCTTGATGTGTATGTTGACAAGGTGCCTACCTGTCTATTACCCACTACCTCGTTCATACTGGCTCCAGGAGACAGTTGGTCGTTGCTGGAGGGGACGGGATGCACGGTTCTTGTGGCCGTGCTAGGCTCAAAGAGCGGTTCCATGCACTCAGTGTGGAGCGGACTACGGTCCAGCCACCGCCTTGTGTGCGCTTGATTCCCCAAATACAGCGTGCTTGTGTTTGCCTGTGAAGGAGTGTGGGCCGGCTCCGTTGATGAAACGTGGTTCCCATCCGCATGCCTCCCGGTCTTATTCCTTCGGGTTTACACTGGGTATGGGGTATGTGGTTGGAGCTGTGGGTGGTGCAGCGCAAGCCATCCATGGTCCCTCTGTAGGCACAGGCGTCCTGTGGCTTGCCACAGTGACAGGCAAATCCGAAACCGGATGCCGCCAACCATATATATAATACACAATCTGTGGTACTGATATCGTGCCATCGGAATCATGGCTGAATAGGAAAACAATATGAATAATAAGAAAAGAGCAACAATAAATGCTTTTTTTGTCAAGTTTACCACTCACAGTTTTTGAAATTTTTTTCCAGTTTGTTCTTTTTTAGGGGGAGGAAGAAGGGACACCGCAACACACTGATGCACACGTTCGCCATTGACATCGATCTTGAGCTATAACTTCCAAGGTTTCCAACCAGCAAGTATCCTCATCTCTCGGACCCCAACCAGGTAGTCGACAACAACCGGCTGAGGCCAATTGTTTCGTCAACTTTTTCATGCGGCTTCTTCATGTTGTAGGCTGTCCACCAGACCGTCTCTTCCAGCCCTGTCCAGCAAGTGCAAACAACGCACGACGGGGGTAACGCTGGACAGGCATGCGCAATACGTGTCCCAACCACCGCAGTTGATGCAGTGAGATGAGCTCCTAGAGCGAGTGGCTTCCACGTCCCAAGACACGCTGTCTAACTTCCACATTGCTTACGTGGTGCTGCCACCACACACGGGCAATGGACCGCAGACAGCGGTGCTCGAAGACGGATAGCCTGTGCAAGTCATCTTTACGAATGGGCCAGGTCTCGCATCCGTACAACAGTACAGCACGAACAGTTGCACAATAGACCCGCCCTTTGATGGAGAGACGAATGTCGTGGCGACGCCACAAATGCCTCAGCCTAGAAAAAGCGAGGCGTGCTCTCGAGATGCGCATCGAAATCTCGTCTCCAACAGCCCCGCCAGCAGTGATGCAACTTCCCAAGTACACAAAGCTCTCCACAACCTCCAGTGTCTCACCAGCAAGTGTGAGTGCAGGCAGAGGCACCTGCCAGTCTTGAAGGAGAGCCTTGCATTTGGATGACGAAAAGTACATACCGTACTTTGATGCTTCAATCGCCAAGCGGTTTAATGCAAGTTGGACAACCTGTGGATCGTCACCCAGCAAGACGATATCATCAGCATAATCCAAATCAACAACTCGACTACCTGGGAGGAGCTCAACGCCAGCGTTCAACGAATCGCTCAGAGCGTTCTTCAGGACATCCTCAATGGCAAAGTTGAATAGGAACGGAGAGATAGGGCATCCTTGTCGAACTCCCCTGGAGACCACAAAGGTAGGCGAAAGCATGCCATAAGCCCTAACCCTGCCCGAGGTCAGACTGTAGATAGCGCGCAGTATGGAGACGAACTTCTCGGGGAAACCGTTCCTCAGAAGGCACTGCCACAGTACTGTACCATCGACAGAATCGAAGGCTGCACGGATATCCAGGAACACAGCAATTGTTGGCCTCTGATACCCATGGCGGAGCTCGAGGATCTGGCGAAGTGTGAAGATTTGATCGATGCAGCCGCGACCAGGGCGAAACCCAGCTTCTTCTTCTCGTCGCAACGATTCGCGTGTTGGGGATAGCCTGCGAAGTATGATGGACACCAGCAGCTTGCAAACGACGGGGACTAAACTTATTCCTCTGTAGTTGGAGCAGATTGTGCGCAGGACCTTTTTGAAGATAGGGACGACTATCGATTCACCCCAAGATGATGGAACCTTCTCTTTCGACCAAATTTTCGAGAACAAAGCGATGAGTTCTCGGACCAGCGATGCGCCACCATCTTTAAATAGAGCTGGGTGAAGACCATCAGGGCCGGGAGCTTTATAACGCTTCAGGTGCCGGAGCTCCTGCTCGATTTCCTGGGAAGAGGGAGGGTCTGTTGGGGTAGACCACTCTGCCCCAGCGCGAGCGCCAGAGGTAGCAGATGGAGCTGGGGGCCAACAAAACTGCGAGCCAAAATGTTCGGCCCATCGCTCCAACCGTCGTTGAAGATTGGTGATTAAGGTGCCATCCTCTTCGCATATTGTTTCACTTATACCGGATCGAACACCTTCGGTGACTCGAATGAGATGGAAGAGTTTCCTGGTATTACCACAGAGACTAGCCAGCTCCATCACCCTAGCACGTTCACACCACCAAGCTTCGAGGTCCATTTGTAGACTCCTGCGCAATTCTCGACCAAGGTATTGGCGTTCCTCACTGTGTCTGGAATCCGATGGGATCAAGCGGCGTCTGTCCATCAGCGACAAGGAGTCGGCGGAAATCCAATGTTTCGGTGGGTGACGGGTAACTCCACAAGTGTCGATACTGGCGGAAACTAACGCATCTTTGATATGCGCCCACTGCGAATCGAGATCACCGTCAATAGTTGAGCCAAGCAAGGTTGACAGTGAGGCTTGGTACCTGGTTAAAATCGCAGCGTTTTGTAGATTCGCGACGTCCGGTAGGTAGTGGGCGCGCTTAGGTGATCCTCCGAAACGCATGCAAATCTTAGCATGAACCAATGCGTGATCAGAGTCTAGAAAAGTTGACCAGTACGATCGGCAGTCCGTTACGCTTCCGCGCCATCTGTAGCTGATTGCTATGTGGTCAAGCTGGGAGCACTCTTGCGTTTGTGAAGGCGGGCGCCAGGTAGCAGTGTGTCTCCTCGAGTGTCGGAAACTGGTGCTCGAAATAAACAAGCGATGATCAGAGCAAAGAGAAAGTAGTCTGTCTCCATTGTCTGATCGACTGCCACCGAGACCAAAACTACCCCCAATGTGGTGCTCGCTTGGTAGAAGGCGGCCAACCCGTGCGTTCAAGTCCCCGGCAAGAATGACTATATCCGTCCTTTTGGAGGAACGCAGAAGTTCATGTAGTTGTTGGTAAAAGCTATCTTTAATTGCATCCGGGCTGCAGTCTGTAGGGGCGTAGGCGGAGACGACAAATAAGGCACGCTTAACATCTCGACGCCTGCTTACGTTAGATGAACCTCTTAGTCTGACTGCACATAGTCGGCTGTTGACTGGGCTCCAGTCAAGCAGAGCTGATTCAGCCCTGGCACTCAGTACAACCCCAACACCAGCTTGATCAGTGGCGGCAGATTCTGGGTCTCCGGTAGCCGCAAGTAGTATTTGGCGTCAGAGTTTACCGGAGAGGCCATTCTGATGACGGCGCTAGAGTCTTGTAATCTGGTCTCTGAAAGACAACAGATGTCCACCGAAAGCGTTTCAAGAGTACGGGCCAGACATGCTTGTCGTCCGATCTGCATCAAAGTTCGAACATTAAACGTTGCGAGGATGAATGGAGAACCAGGTCGAAGAAGAGCTGGAGCTTCCGTGGAGTGAGAGGCGGTCGCAATCGCAGGACATTGAAAACCGGGAGTTTGGCTGTTACTTGGGTCGTTTGTGACGGTGACCGTAGAAGACATAAGAGTACATACAGGTGAAGGACGGGAGGTGGGGTGGTCTGTGAGTGGATGTTGAGCGGTTGAGTTAGGACAGAAGAGCGGTATAGCAGTAGTAGTAGTGAGCGGTGTAGTCCATGATTCGTCAGTGGGCGTGATACTACCCGGTTGCCCAGGCCGAAGTAGAGGGTTGTCTTAGGGGGCCCTACCCCGAGCCTTTGATCAAAGATCTAACCTACAAGGCAGCAGGGCGATGTGAGGGCGTCGCAACCCGTTGGGAGCCAGTGACCAAATAGATGGTTCATACGCCTTTCGGTCCGTGAAGGACCAGGGGC